CAAATTTTTATGATATCTTCAAACATATATTTTTTTCAAAAATAAAAACATCATTGTTTTCTCAAAATCACATAAAGTCGTATTATAACATCGACTGAGATAAAGAATAAAATGAAATATTAAAATCATGATGTATCTCGCTGCATTGCGCGAGTACGCTTCTAGTAAAATATAAATGGGCTAGATGAGTCTATCCATATTTATTTTTATATTGTCCATGTTTGTTCGTTAATTTTAACGAACAAATCCGAATCCGTTCATTTTTTCAATAATGGTTATCCAAACCCGTATTTTTAGCGGGCCGGATGGACCGAATCTTACTGATCGTTCGGCCATAAACAACTCTAATAATAATTATTTTAATTGAACATTAGAGATTGTAAACATATTTTGTATGGGTTGTGCCAAAAATTCACGTGACTATTCGTACCAAACAAATTCGCTTCTAACGAAAAGGATTCATTTTGTACAAATTTGGTAGGAAAAAAAAAGGCTAAGGGACCGTTTATCAGTAAAATTTAATATTATCATTTATTTACCGAATAAAATTTTAGTCCACTAAAACGATATCGTATGCAACAATTTACCCGGTAAGCTCTTACCGTGGTAAGAATCGTCGCCCTCACTTACCGGGTAAGACTCTTGGTTTTTGTCTCGCTCTTAACGAATAAGATTATTGGTCCTTACCATATTCATCCGATAGAGTAATGTGCCTTGGTGTCCACTTACCCGAATAAGCATTTTGTAAAAGGTCTTAAATGTAAATCAATTATTTGTTAAAATATACATTTATCGGTTAATTTGTTCTTCATATACATCTTTAATTCGTTAAGACGTTTATCGTATTAACGAGCTATCTTAGTATTACGGTTTTAGTTTCTATATTGACTTCAGGAAACATGTAAAAAATGACGAGGTAATTCCGAATGCCTGTTGATATTGGTTAAACAGGTTTCGAGAATAATAAGAGGCAAATAAGAGGTTGGTTTACCTCTTACCAGATAAGAGGACAATAAGATATAAATGCCTCTGAAAAATTAGAAAACACAAACAGTCTGAATAACCCTGCCTCTTAACGAATTAGACATAAGAGACTAACAAGAGTTTTTTTTTTTTTTTTTTTCAAAAAAAAACAAGATCTTACTATAACAGTTTGTGATTGTACTGTTAAACATCACAGTTATTCTAATGAATCGCATCTCGAAATGTCTCAAAAAAAGAGGCTTGTGAATAAGAAATTCGAACGACTCTAAATATCGTGTCATATTCCAAAACTTTTAATTTCACATTCACGCTTGAAATAATTTACGTTTTTATGAGTCATATTTTGTTTAACATTTCCAAAATTTAAAAACCCGTAATAAAATCAAAGAATAGTTCATTAGAGGAAAAAAGGTGTTACTATATATACACCCGTTATATCAAATCAGAACTATACAAATATAAAAAACGGAAACTTGATGTTGTGAAAGAAGAATAGCAAAAAATTCACAGTCTGATTTTACACATAAGAGGTTTTAACGGGAAATACTGACGTGATAAGTAGCCGTTTAGCAAGTAGCACTATAGCAACTTGCGACACCGTTACTTCATGAATATTGGATTCACAAAAGGTAGATTTCGCAAGTTGTTAAAGTGCTAATTACAAAATGTTGGCTATTTCGACCAACTCACTAGAAAAGTGGCTATAAAGTGAGTTGGGAGGTCCAAAATGACTATTTTTGACAATTTCCCCATTTTAGCTATGTGTAATACCATCATAGCTAACCACAAGAGTGATGTCTGATTGGTTTGAGTTTGACTCCAAATATCAAAAGTACAAGGAGGTCCCAATTTCAAACCCAAGGAGGAATAAAAGTCCCCTTGTGGCCACGGAGGTTCAAATGCGGTGACTCCGGGCTATCTGCAAAGCAGGTGGTTGCCTTGGGATTAGTCGGCTCGCATAGCGGATTGGATATCCAGGTTAATCGGAAAAAAAAATACCATCATAGCTAACCACAAGGGTGGTGTCTAATTGGTTTGAGCTTGAGCTCCAAAGGTAATAAGTGCCTGGAGGTCCCAGGTTCTCAAATCCAATGAGGAATAAAAATCCCCTTGTGGCCATGGAGGTTCAAATGCGGTGACTCCGGACTACTTGCAAAGCAGATGGTCGCCCTGGGATTAGTCGGCTCGCATAACGGGTTAAATATCCAGGTTTATAAAAAATAATACCATCATAACGTTGTTTTATGTCAAATCACGCCAAACTGAAACTTAATGTTGAGATACGTGAAAGAAAATTAAGATTCGCAATCCGTCATAATCGAGTAAAATTTTACAAATATAAAAAGTGGAACCTGATGTTGATTTATGTGACGGAAAACTAAGATTTGCGATCGGTCATAATTGAGTAGATTTTACTCATAAGAGGTTTTAGTCGGAAATGCTAATGTGGCAAGTAGCACTATAACAAGTTGCACAACACTTCCACATCAGCATTCAGTAACTTGCGAAACCGTTACTTTATGAATATTAAATTCATAAAAAATTAGATTTCGCAAGTTGTTGAAGTGTTACCTACAAAATCCTGACTATTTCAGACAACTTTCAGGTTTTAGTTTTGTGTAATTCCCATAATAACCCTGGTTTTATGTCACCTAATACTACTTTGTTCCATAGAAACTAGAAAGAAATCATATGCAGCTGTAAATGTTGTTTTAAACATCACATGTAACTTGAGATCCCCAAAAGACAAGAGACTTTCTTTAAAGTTTGACCTTAAAATATCAAAAGGAAAGCCTATTGTGAAATGACAGAAATACCCTCACCCTGGAAAAATGGCAGGCAAGTCTTCACAAGTTCAATGGGATAGAGAAATGTACCTTTCAGCTTAGAGTTTGATAACCCCCAAGAGAAGAAGAAGAAGATCCATCGGTCCGCTGGTCGTATCGCGGCTTAAACGTCGGCATCCATGGGAAAATCTTTCCGATTTCTTTCGTTAAGTTAGAAGGGCTCATTTGTCTATCATTTATCCCAAACTTTGCCCTTTCTATAGCTTCCATTATATCTTCCCTTGCAACACATTCACCACCTGGTAAAACCACAAAAACACCAATTGGTCATTATGATCGCATCATATGATCGCTATGTTTGGCAAACTAATGGGTGACTGATAAACTAGTTGTTAGCTGAAAAGCTAGCCGTTGGCTAATGCTAGTTGATAAACTAGTACGTTTGGTAAAACCAGTTGATGAGCTAAATATGACAATGTACAATGACCTAAAAGTACATGTTGAAAAACTAAATGGAAAAATACAAGAGGCATAATTAGAAAAAAGCTCATGGAGCTTATAGAAAAGCTACTTTAAATAGAATTTCAAAAAGCTAGCTTCAACCAGCTTATGAATAACCAAACGGGGATTTTTCAATAAGCTCGAAAAATAAGGTAGCTTATCGTTACCAAACATGGTCAAAGTAGCAAAAGTTATGCCCATATTCCTAAAGAAGGATATTGTTCTTTTACAAGTCTATCCCTAATACATTTTGTTACGTTAGCTGACGTTAGGGGTGAAGTTGTAAAAGAAAGGAAGAACATGTGTAGGGATTCAGCAGTAAGGTTCTCTATTTTTCCCCTTATTTCACTCTAAGAACAAAAGAACAAAATCTGTACCATATGAAGTATCAGTAGACCCTGCACGTATTTGCTACCAACAATTTTCTTTTACAATTTTACCCAGAATCTATTTTCATTTCTTTATGACTTTGTTTCGCTTCTTAAAGACACATAAAGGGTAGAAATGTAAAAGACCAACTAGTTTGCAAGATTATATGCAAGCTCTGCTAATATTCTCCTTGCCTTGCACACACAAGCAGAGTGAACTTAAAAAGGCAGCAGAGCCTATGCGAGCTTTTCATGGGGTCTGCATACACAAGCCAAGACATGACATAATAGGATAGGACAAAAGCTTTTTTTGTCCCATATTTGGTGCGACATCGGACCGGGACAGGACGGGATTGTGTGCCAAAAAGTATCCCACCAAAATAAGTGGAGCAAAAATTAGGTGTAACAAGATTAGTACATTACTAAACTACCCATGTCAAATTAAAACCTTAAAACCTTCCACAATTCTATCACCCACCCACCTCACTCTCACCCGTCCAGTCCCGTCTGCGTACCAACGCACCCATTTATATCTATCTTTATGGTTTGTTTCTCTCCAAGAACAAGAGATTAACTTCTCCAACCATTGTACTTGACTTTTCTATTACGAATCACCCATCGTTCATGTGGGAATGTAAACGGACAAATTGTAAACACTTCAACGGTTGTACTTTTCTGAAATTGTACTTCTTTGAAATTGCATATAAACACTTCAACGGTTGTAAGAATAGGCTATATTGCACATATTGTGGGAATGTAAATGCACAAAAGGTTAAAGAAACCCTCTTACATTGAAATCTTTACCCAGAACGACAATTCTTTTTGCATTTTTGCAAGAACACGATGGCCGAGAAGTTAATTACTCAAGAAATATCAGAAAGTGTAAAATTGGAGCACTAGGTAAACTTAAAATGCAAAGTGGATTGAGAATTTTCGGATTCAAACCTCGTCTAGCAGCAAGCAAAGCGGCTTCATTGACAATGTTGGCCAAATCAGCACCTACAAAGCCTTGAGTAAGAGAAGCAATTAGGTTGCACATAATGGCAGCGTCTTCTTCAAGAGGGATTCCTCTTAGATGAACAGCTAATATCTTTCTTCTTCCGCTTTCATCAGGTTCTCCCACAAACACTTTTCTTGAGAATCGACCAGGGCGGCAAAGAGCGGGGTCCAGTGCTTCGGGCCTATTAGTTGCTGCTATAACAATCACATTTACATCTGACTCGAACCCATCCATTTCTGTCAGTAGCTGAATGGGCAGAAATAGACATTAAAGCCAGAGAATTAATTCAAATTGTTCATGAAAATCATTACAAACTGATATGATTTCTCATCTGATCGTGAATTAGAACAGATGAAGCAAAGACCTACTTAAGTTTCGAAAAAGGGAAATATATATAAAAAATTGGTTTAGTTCCTATTTAGTGTAATGAAGAATTTAAATTATGTTGATCGATATAACAAAATATCAAAATTTCCTATTTTGTACCCATTTTGCCCCGTAACCTGTTCTTGTAAAATTTTATGACGTGGATACTCGGTTACGAAAGATTTTGGAAAATTTTATGGAAGAGTTATGATGAAGTGGGCAATAAAGTTGGCATCACTACATCAAATGTTAGAAGAACAGCAGGTTACATCTTACATGTCAAAATGGGTAAAAGAATAAGAAAATATTGAAACTTTGTTACGTTTTGAAACTCTATTATTGATTGAAAAAGGAAATTCTTTATTATACTAAGTAGGAACTAAGGCAAATTTTGTTGCAATTTTTGTTCTTTAGAGGAAGAACAAAAACTTCAAATTATACACAAGAATCACATACAAAATGTAAAAGATGAAGTACCTGGTTTAGTGTTTGGTCTCTTTCATCATTAAAGCTTCTACCACGCTTTCCCCCTACAGCATCGAGCTCATCAATAAAAATGATTGATGGTGCATTCTTTCTTGCAACATTGAAAAGGTCCCTAATACGAGCAGCTCCTCTTCCAACAAACATCTCCACGAATTCACTAGCAGAAACGGTGAAAAATGGTACCCCGGCTTCTCCAGCAACTGCACGGGCTAATAATGTTTTCCCCGTCCCTGGAGGACCCACTAGCAGCACTCCTCTCGGTAACTTTGCTCCTAGTTTGTTATAGTTAATAGAACCTTGGAGGCACAACACAATCTATAAAGAGATGAAAAAAACATAAGCATCCACTCAAAGTTATTAGTTGACAAACAAGTAGACTAGCATTTTGAGTAGTAAATAGAACACATTTCTTGCAACAAACATGAACCTTTTTTTATGTGTATCATATCAAAGAAGGGTAGCTTCCAGATATACATGTGAACCTAAAAGTGTGGCTTCATTAGGTTGAGATTTGTTTTGTTTGAATAATGATCAAGTATCTCATTCCACTGACTTCATATTACCTTTTGCTTGGTTTTAACTATATTTTGATATGTTTCTACTACAATGGATCTTTTATTACTGGTGCAAGAGGACTTTATGCTCATTAGAAGTCATACATTTTCCATATATGCACCTCGGTATGCTCAAATAATCACCTCAAGAGATAGGACCAGTTGTTGCCTTGGTTTGCCTCTCTCCGTCAACAACATACTGCATGGCGTATTAACTTCCCATACACTTATCGAATAACATTAGGCACCCATTACAAGATCAACAAAGAAAAGCAATATTGCTTCAATAAGCGAATTATAACTTATAGGGCTACATGCTTATACGCTGGCACATAACTGTTGCACAAGACTGTTAACAAGACAACATGCTTGGACTCTCATGGATTTCAGGCACTCAAGTATCAACAAGATGGCATACTTGAACTATCTTGGGTTTGATGCACAAATGGCCATAAAGGTTGCCACTGGATACAGGCTGTAAATGTGGAAAAGAATGCAACAAATTCTTAATGCTTATCCCAAGACCTAGCAATATTCGTGTCAGTAAGTGTCGCACACATTATTGATGTGCACGTTGTCATATAAGTGCAAACTAGAATGAAAACTAGAAGTAGATTTTTAGTAAGTTGCCATAAATCCTTGACTCTATTGAGCATAAGCTTGCGTTGTAAGTTAAAGGAGGGTTTTCACATCTCAGTCCTTTAGATGAATAGATGATTACATCTTCATCAAACTTTATCAATGATAAAAGTATCTTCTGAAGATTAGAATTTAAAGAATGTGAAAATAATCAAAATTTTAAATTTCTGCTGAATGCATTTTTCCAAGTATAAAACAGTTATACCAACAAATTCTTTGACACTAAGCTCTACCATCATTTGCAATATATAAATTCACTTATGTGAAAGTACCATAATCTTTTTGTGTTGAAACCTGAAAGGCAACCGTAACCAATCTATGCTAAACACAAATGACACAACTAATTGCAACTTAGAATAAAGTGTAGTTAAATTTTTTGTTAAAATGATATTCTTGTATAGCTCATTTATTGTGTCTTTGCTAATACCAGCAAAAAATAAACACAAAGACTTCTCCCCCAACCCTCTCAAAGCCAATCAAATGGCTCTTTAATTATTCTTGTATTATAAAACCAAAAGTTGAATGCGCAGAAAAATTACAAGAGCATCTAGTTACTCTAGAATATTTGATGCCCTTCCATATAAACATAGGTAACAAACCAAACAAAAGCAGTGACATGAAACCATACAAAATAAAGAGGCTTACCTCCATAAGCTCTACTTTTGCAGTATCCACGCCCTCTACATCTTCAAAGTTGACTAGTTGATTGCTAGGCCGCCGCTTCTTAGCAGGGCTATTAGCAGCGGAAAGTTGGCGATAAAGAAGCCACATCAAGGGAGTTAGAGGAATCCAAAGTGATATTATAGTAATCAGGACACCCCTCATTGACATTAATGCTGATTGTGGAGATGAACTGTATGTAATTCCTCTCTCTCTCATCAAGCCAAGGAGATAGCTCTCATCGTGGTCAATCTTTCTTGTTGAGTACTGCCATTCTGGCTTCGAAGCTTTTGTCTTTGTCAATTTCCACAACATATGTGAACTTGTAATCTGATTATTCTTCACATTGCTCCTCACTATGTCACTCCCAACCAAATTTTCGTCATCATCATTTCTTCCAACCTTTGGGTCTTCTGAATTTTGAGTGTTTTCTACACCAAATGAGCCAGTATTGTAGTATATTCGTCTAGATCCCTCCTCAAACAGAACTTTCATTACAGACCCACTCTGCAGACTCGTTATCAAGTCTGAGTATGGGACAACTTTAGGGGTTGGCATTGTTGTCAACTTCAAGAACAAATAACACAACCCTAATACAACAGAAATCGAAGTGGATAGAGTCACTTTTCTCATATTTTTGCGCAGATACGTTCCAAGGTCATTTAAGATCGACCGAACAGACGCCCTTTTCAATCTTGAGGACAGTAATCGCAATCTTGGCTGCAATCTAAGCTTGAATCCCTTCCTCAAAAAGCTAGGCTCCCTGTTCCCCAAATGGTTTTCTTTGTTTCCTTTTTCATTAATCACAGACCTAATACATAACAACCTATTTTGAGATTTCAAACCTACTAAAGGAAATGAATGCGAACCGTAGCATGAATTAGACAATGAACAAGACAGAATTTTGCATTTCGTCAAACACTTGGTGTGCATAACACGAAGTCTCGACATTTCAGAACTCCGCAAAGATCCATTGTTCAAAAGAACAGGAACGGCAGCCATTTCTACTGACATAGCATTCAATTTCCCCATGAAATTCCAAAGATCAACATAGACCCAGTACAGATTTACAACCAAGATTACACTTCTTCGCAACTTACCTTCTTGCGACTGGCGATTGAACAGAAGCAATTAATTGTTCTTGCCAAGACAAAACCCTTCTCCAATTCCTTCTTTTTTGGAGTTCCAAACTCTCTTTGGCTGAGAAATCTTTGTTGATGTTCAATAAGCTTATCTTGCAATTCTCAAGGAAATATCATCAATAATATCCAAGGGTTTAATTATTTTAAATGAAGAAAAAATGAACGGGTCAAATTTTCAAATTAGTCCCTGTATTATCAATTAATGGCAACTCCCCCCTAGACTCTCTCTAATGTATTTGAATGTGTGTTTTCGAAATACTTGTTACAATTTAAAGACCTGGAATTAGATGATTATTCGATTAAATAAAATATACTTAAATAATTTCATATTTATTTTTCAAAATTCAGTTTTTTCGGTTATAATTGAATGCCATCACGTAGTTGTGCTGTCAGTAAGAGGAGATGGACCTTAATCTGAGTCTCAGTTACGAACGGCTGAACGTAGCGGACGTTCTTTCCAGCCTGACTCAAATAGCTACCGGTACTATGGGTCGTCGAACCCGAGAATGTCAAAGATAGGTAGGATGTTACCCGTGTAGGAAGAACACTGGTTGACTTTTAACTAAACTGGTTATTGTCTGATTATGTTTTTTTGTCAGTTTACAAACTTGAAAAAAACACAACATAATAAGATTACAGATTTGCTAAAAAGGTGAAGTGAGAAAAAGACAAAAATATAAAAGAAAATTTAACTTCAAAATAATTGTTTTATCCTTATGTGTATGAAAGATGCACGTCTAAAAAGCGGGGCGGAAAATATAACGGTCATACAGACGGACGAGATAAAAATTTCATTTTATGACTATGTTTTTTAATTTTGAAAAAAATATATATCGATATTAATATTAAATTAACTATTTAAAGTTGTTGTTTTTTGTATAATATTTTTAATTTAATTTAATTTATGTTTAATAATGATTTATTTTTGATTTCATAATGTAATTCCTTATAAAAATAATATTCAAGTGTTTTGTTAGACGTCAAATTTTTATTTTAGTTACATTTTAGAGTTTTTATATTTAAAATGAAATGTTTATCTTGTATTTGATTATATATATTTACAGTTAGTTACACAAATTAAAAAATGGGGCTTTAATAAGTTGTATTTATGTACAATTTACTTGTAATATTGATTTTTAAGTAATATGTATTAATAAACAATACTTCATACATAAAAAATAATTTTTAAGAGTTTTTGTCAAATACTTTATAATATAACTAGAAGGGTACTCGCACAATACAGCGAAATGCATCTCGATTTAAATGTTTGGTGTTTTTTTTGTCTCAGTCAATGTTATAATATGATTTTATATGGTTTTGAAAAAGCGATAATGTTTTTATTTTTAAATAAGATGTAAATATGAAGACATCATAAAGAATTGAAAAAAATATTGATATAAGTACCAAACTAACTATTTAAATTTATTTTTTTATGTATTTTTTAATTCATTTTTTATCTTCGATTTAATAACATATTTTTTTATAAAGATAATAATTAAGTATTTTGTTTGAATTCAATGATTATCCTAATTATATTTTAGATTTTTTATATTTAAATTGAGGTGTGTATCATATGTGTATGTTTATCTGCATTTAGTTACACAAATTAAAACATGAAGCTTTAATAAGTTGTACTTATGCATAGTTACTTGTAATCTTGAATTTTAAGTAAATATGCATCATAAAAAGTATTTAATACATAAAAATGGTTTTTAAGAGTTTTTTATCAAATACTTTATAATATAGTATAATAATAGATAAGATAATATAAATTTTATTACAAGGAGAAACATGCTTAAAGAATTTGTTGGAACATTTATTAAGTGTAAATTATCATCCAATTAATTTTAAAAAAATGTAATCATTTGTTTATTTTATAATATTATCTGTTTTCATATATATATATATATATATACATATATATATATAGAGAGAGAGAGAGATCCCGTTTCAAACTTGAATTCTAGTTAAGAACCGGAGGACAATCAAGAGTGTGGCACGTGACCCCATTCATCATGAAAAATGAAAGTAACTTTTTACAACATTTATAATGAATATCCCGAACATTGACTTATTTCGATGTGGTACTGGTAACAAGCAGTTTTTAGTGCTTGGATGGAAGGAACAAAATTGTTTATACCGGTATCAAACCTGTAACAAGAAGTTTTTGACAAGTTACAACCTTCTAACTTATCAAAAACAAATTATCAGTTTTGAAAATTAAGTTACTTTTTTACCCTCTTCTGGTCTTCTTTAACCTTAAAAAACTTATCTGTTCATTCTAATTTCTCATATGCACGATTTCTCTAATCCCATCTTCCATCCAGTGGCGTGTAATCGATTGAAGAGGTGCAACAATGAGGGTTTGAGTTTGATTATTTCAATCCAGCGTAAACAATTGGAGCTTAAGCAGCAGTAATTGGCTGGTTGCGACAATCACTCTCTATCGAATTTAGGTTTTTTTTGTCAGATTCTGTTCTCTCATAGCAATTTAGGGTTTCTTATATGATGTCTTGATGAATGTGATTGCTTACGAAGAGATTAGTTTATGCTTCTTAAATTTTCGTTTTAAGATTGTTCGAACCTGCTGCTTCTGTTTACATTTTTGAGAAGACGATGAATCATGGTCTGCTTCTTCATTTTGAAGACGAGGACGAAGGGGTGTTATTTTAGTCATTTTACATGTGTAAGCAAAATTAACCAAACATTAAAAAGTAACTTAGCAACTTATTACAGTTTGGTACAGGCACAAGCTAACCAAACACTTTTTATAAAACTACATTTTGATACCACATAAGTTGAAATACACTTTTACAAAAAAAAAAGTATAAGTTGTTTTAAATAAGCAATCCCAAATACCCTCTTATTACCACTTGGGTTGAGTTTACAATCGACTTGAAAAAAGAGCCGAGAATTCCAAGTAATTCCCAGAAAAATTCGATCAAATCAGGAATCCTTGAAGATCGTCCACAACCCAAAATTCCAAGTAATATTCTCTTGGATAATTTGCAGTTTTTCTTTTTGATTCGCAGATAATGTTTCAATTCCTTGTTTTTTTATCTCCTTTTGTTTGTTTGATTTTATGTAATTGCCATTGGAATGCTTGATTATATATCTGCTTTCATCGATGTGATCGACGATAACATTTCGTAGTTGTCGAAGACGAATTGACGATTTCATAGGATTTGATAATTGAATTTTAAGTTCAGTGATTATAACCTTTTTAGGGTTTTTTTTTTTAAATTTACGTGTGTGCTCATGGTGTTCTATCACCACCAGCACATACTGATAATGGTGTGGCCTTGTGGTGTTCTTTTGGATTTCCGTAACATGAATCACATTGTTTTAGGAATAGTCCATCAACAAAATTGCGTATTGAAGTGTGAATGGAAGTTTTGCAACATTGATGATGCCTTTACAATTGAACTCTGAAAATCTATTGTAAATCCCTCTAGTAATTTATGTTGATCGTCAAACACAATTCTTCTGCCAAAAAATTGTGGAACCAAAATTAATCAAATATTGAAAAAGGGAATAAGAAGAACATGGAAGAATTCGAAAATTGGACTGAAGAGATGGAATGTTCCTAAGCTCTCAGTGTTTTCACAAGGGTAATTAAGGAAAAAAGTTGGTTGAGTACAAATGATAGATGTAGATGTATTATGGCTTAGCAATTCAGTCGTAACCGAACAACTATTTATGGTTGTGCGACTACAACCTATTAAGTTCTTACCAAACATAACCAAGAGTCTTTCCGTCGGCTTACCCCGTTGCATCATGGACCAATAAGAGGGGCTTGGTAAACAACTGCATCTCTAACCAGGGGCGGATGTATGTGATGAGGGTAGGGGTCCTGGGCCCCCAACAAATTTTTAACAGGAAGGCCCAAAAAAAATTAGTTTACTTGTATTTTTCAATGAAATGAATTTGGGCCCCCAACAACAAGATGCAAGAGGCCCCTCTAACCTCAGTTCAGTCTTAGTGCAAGGCTGCACCGCTGCAAGCAAGCGACGAGTAGGCGAGAGGCGAGTAGCGTAGCGACCAACCAGACTACCGTCTACCTTACTTCTTCTTCATCGGCTGCGACCGACCTCACCATCACATCACTTCTTCTCTTCTTCTTCTTCATCGTTGCGACAGAGACTGAGAGTCACGGACTCACGGACTGTCTGCTGGCCGCTGGCGTGCTGCTGTAGTGCTGTCTGCTCTCTGCTGTCCGCCTGTCCGACTGACCGACTCACGGATGCCCGGATCGATGAAGGCACGAAGACGAAGCCACGAAGCCACGAAGGAAAGGAACCCTAGGCCCTAGCCTACTGGAGTGGACTGACCGACTGTGCCTCTTGGGTAATTGGTAATTTCTAATTTCTAAATTTCTAATTTCTAAATTTCTAATTTCCAACTTCAATTAGTAGTATTTTAGGTTAATTTTGTGGTAATTGGTAAATGCTTTAGGTTAGGTATTTATTTTTAGGTTAATTTTGTAGGCAAATAAAAATGTTACTAAACCATTGA